AAATCAAGGCGTACAGCTAAAAGACCGACTGGTTTGAACAGCTTGCTAAATATGCTAACGATCCTCATCACTTTTTGGAAAATTTATTTTTTGACCAATTTTCTTAATTTTTGTAGGGGTTACATCACTTTTTTTTTCGAAAAATCTCAAAAATTAAACATTTTCAGGTTGAATTGCCAAACGATTGGAAATTAAGCAACGAGCTCAACGAGGTATGACATTGTTTTATTTGAGGTGATAAGAATAGGGTTTCATTCGATATCTTATCGCAGTTTCATATATACGTAGCTGTTGTGACTGATAATACATGGGGTCTTAACTTGGTTTAAATTGGGTGCAGTCTGTAATTTGTGTTGATTTTGCGCACGTTTTTCCTTATTAATCAAAACAGAGTGCAAAAATTTTCACAAGGCCCTTCGTAGGTGGTCGTTTCTATAAATACGCAAGGCATAAACAAAGCTGACCACAAGCAAGTTAAAAGGTATTCAGCGAGTTCCAGAAAAAATCAAAAGAAATATTTCCACACAATGGTTTGCAAAGGTTGCGGAGCTAGTGAGTTAAAAATTGAATATTTATTATCAAATAAAAGTTAAATAAAACCCTTTAACAGACTGCAAGTGCACTGACACCAAGTGCGGCGACAACTGCGCCTGCAATCAGGACTGCAAGTGCGTGTGCAAGAATGGACCCAAGGATCAGTGCTGCAAGACCAAGTAGATGGATGGATCGAAAAAATTAAAACCGATATATAAGATTTGGTATCTTTAAATAAGAATGGATCCCAGCTGGATCTATGGATCGTATTAAAACCAATAAATAAAAGTAGGTCTCTCTAAACCTCAAAGCCTGAACGCATTTCACTTGCCCACATTGGAGGTGTCTGTCAGAAAATGATATTCGCTTAATTACAATTTGGTGTGCCATGCTAAAAATGTGCAAAACACACAAAACACACCCATTTCGAGGACAGATATTTACCATGGCATTATGGCGAGTGTGTGTGTGTGTGTGGCCCAGAGGCCAAGTCCTCTTCTGGCCAAGTGTCACACATTTGGCCAGGGTCGCATTGCCATTGCAAAATGCGCAATTATTGCATTTGTGGCGCGTGGCAGGCGGCCATCCAGTTGCAAAATTTATGCGGTCTCATTTGGAGCGGCGACGAGGACACAACTCGAAATTGTGACACTTGTAAGTGAGCGTGAAATAATTTCGCGCATTAAGTATACGCAACGGGGACCCACAACAATGCGGCTGCCATTAGGAGGAGTGCAATTGTTCAAGCAATTAATTAGCACTGTTCGCTGGGAAATAGCCACAAACGAAAAAAAAAACACAGAGAAAAGGAAGAAAATATGAAGACTTGGGCACTTAAGGACTTCTGCCACTCAGATTGCCTTCATAATAACCTCGGTGAAGTGAGTTTGCCGCCAAGGAAAACTCATGTTTCACTCCCAACAATGAACTTCCGAGGGCTGGGGAGAAAAAATTCTAACTGCAAATTGCGGAAATGCCTGTCTGGCCCGTCTGCCTCTCTAATTGTCTGTACATAATTTAGGCAAACATTTTTAATTAAGTGCAATGCTCGACGTACATGGCTTGCTTTTTAATTCCACCATTAATCTTGCACGCCCTAGCGAGGTGTTCTCGAGCAGTTTGAGACTTGGCTTGAGACTTTCGAGCACAATAAACATTTGCCACACAGTCTGTAAGTTTCTCCACAACTTTGTGGCCTGTTGTCTGCGGTTCAGATGGCTTTACTCTTTTTAAATGGTTATATTAACTGGATCGTATCGTTTGCCTTGCCTTCAGATGATGTACGGCCCTTAATTGGCCCTAAACTTTCGCAGTGCTCGCCATATAAGCAGACAAAATCTTAAACAAAGTCGGTTAATTATAAAATTGGCCCATGTCTAAGGCATGAACTTGTTGAGTTACTTTCAAAAGAGAATGAAAACTTGCACACTTTGGAGCCATCGTGGCTTTCTTATCGCCACGTTTTTGTTTTTCTTGTCTGCGGCACTCGTAACTTTGCCGCAAAATTGCTTGTTTCCGCTTCCGCCCCGCTTTAACCCTCCACTGGCCACTGATAGATGCCATTATGACCTACACTTGGGCATAAGTTTTCCCTCTTGGCCAAAGACGACGTTGTCGAGGCTGAAGCTGCTGGCAATTAAAGCCAATTATTTTGAAATAATTGTTTTAAGCAGATTTCTTGGGCGTTATTTTTTGTTATTTTATTTTGGTTCCTTTTTTCCCCCCTAATTGTTGGGTTGGGATTGTCGTGTTTTTTGGGCTTTAGCCTTTGGGGTTGACATTTGAGTTTGTGGTTCTTTAAAGCGTTTCGCATTTTCAATTTGCAATGCGAAAAGCTCGTTAAAATAATTTGTCACAGTATTCTGTTTAATTAAAAAGTTTCAAATGAATGTGCGATGCCATTAAATGATTCTTTCCAGCTTCTCTTTCTCGTTTCTGTGCTTTTCTGCATGCCTAAAAAACAATTAACCCAACTGCAGCGAAATGCATTTGCATGCGAGTCTGTGTGTGGCCGAATTGTATAGGAAACTCGAAAAATTTCCATAGCTGGAAAAAGCGGGCAAAAAAAAACTGGCTTCGTGGAAAATGAAACAACATTTTAACATTGGCTTACAATTAATATTCTGACGTTTAAGCCTGTTAACTGTGATTAAAAACGGACTGAAGACATTATCGTGCTCAATTAGGTTTAAGTACTCACGAATTTTGTTCATTAAATTAAAACTAAATTCAAATTAAATATTTGTAAGCTTTGCTAATGCTTTTAATTTATACAATATATTGAATTATCAGTAAAATTAAATACATTTAGTAGCAAATTATTTGTTGAGTTTGCCTAATCATAGATTTATCCTGATATCTAAAGGGATTTGAAAAATTCAGTTTATAATTTTAACTTTGCATTTCGAAAGATAATAAATTCATTAAAAAGAATAATGATAGCTACTTTTTTTTTTGTATAATTTATTTAATGTTTATGCTAAGAATAAATATTTTTTTGTCTGAGATTTTGAGTATCTATTTAATACTCTTTAGGTGTTTTTGAGTTTTAGTTTACTATTATCTAATGTATTCATTTTCGAGTGTGTACGATGGCTTTTCTGTGTGTGCATTTCCCTACAATTTCATTTGCCAGCCCAAAAAAACAGGAGCAAAAAATGTCCTATACAAAATTCGCAACAGCAGTGTTGAATGTCTCTATGTGTGTGTGTGTGCTGTGTGTGTGTGGGTGAGCTGCACAATAAAATTTATTGTTGTAGTAGATATTGTTGTAAGCTCTTTGCATTTTGTGTGTGTTTGTCACCCACAATGTCCGTCAGGGGCTTCATTGTTCAGCCACATAATTAATTGTCGTAGTTTTCGGGTGTTAAATAATTAGAAAACAAGTTTTTCAGCTATTAATCACTCGGAGTGCGCTGGAAAATGGTTTGGCTTTCCAGAATATTGTGGATCCGAACTGTGGTTCAATTTAATGGCCATCGCACTAAGCCTCAAATTAACCTCAACGCCCTATCAATGCAAAGGAAGAGATAGCCTCTAATGGGCTCCTTAAGCTCCAATTGTAACCCATTCTAAATCACAACATAATCCCATAATTTACATAAAACGAAGCCAAATCGCTGGGACAAGCATACAAAAAAGGTTGTGACCCTACAAAAAAAAAAAGAAAAAGAGAAAAAAATCAAAAAAAAACCATCCCTAGATTCTCCCACAAACACTGGGCTAACGCAATTTGCCCCACTCAAATATCATTATGTCATAAATTGATGTTGAATCCTTGTTCATTTATGAAATTTTCCCATTTTATTGTGTTTCCCTGTCTGTGTGTGTGTGTGTGAGCGCTTATAAAGTTCACAAGTTCGATTTTCCCAAGTGCTGCGGAAAGGTCGGAAAAGCTGAGTGAGTGGGTGTGCACGAATTTAAGTTTTTATGAGTGCCATCAGCATCAGCGTTATAGTCATCATTAGCATCATCATCATTATTCGATTGACCTTTATAATTGCCAAGGTAAGGCAAAGTATCCACTTTAAAGTGCGATCGATGAGGGTGCAAGCGGTGGAAATTTGCATGGCAAATGTCCTTTAAGCAGACAAAGAGATGATGCTAATGAAACGTCAATTATGTGCGACCGTTTACAAGTAGCGAAAGAAAATAGAACAAGTCTTAGTTGGAGGTAAGGACATTAGGATACCTATTAATAGATGAAATACCTACTTAAACATAAAAACAAATAAAGAAGGTACTAGTTGTTAAAACTCTATTTCATCTTATGTTTACAAAGGTCTTAAACGGCTAGATTTAAAAATGGGACCCTATTTTAAAAACTTGTAGGCAAAGCAAATTTACCTCTAAGATTTTATGATATTACCAACTAAAATTGTGCCAATAGCCACGAATTGTATAGTAATGTTATATGATAAATTAAAGAATGTAAAACTATTTATATCTATAGATATTTAATCAAGTTGTTATAATGATCGAACTATAGGATTTCGCAAGATTACAAATAAAAAAGAATGGGTTTGTTTTGAACTAGCTTTAATTTCTTTAACTGAAACAGAACATCTTAATTTTGTTTGGGAATATTAATTATATAGAACATTTGTGTTTGGTTATATGGTCCAGGATATGGTTAGATATACTGACCGACTGAATCCCTTCTGAATCATTTGTAAACACAATTAATATACCCCTCCAACTTCAGGAATACCGGGTACAAAAAACGAGCACGTGACCAACTTTGTCAAGCGTTGAAGCATATCCAATTTAACCCTCAAATTGCTGCCATTATGACAGCATCAGGGGCATCAGCATCATCGGAGTGGCATGGAGAAGTGGAGGAGTGGCATCAGTAGACCCTCTGAGTTATTAGCGAATCGTGATTGGCATAAATCAATGCAGCGGGAACTGCGGGGGAAGTTGGATGGAAATGCACCTGCCGCAGACACTCGGCCCACTCAACTCACTGGCCACTCTTTTAGCCTAATGGGCTTCAAGGCAGTGTAAAATTTATGACTGCCATCCGTCTGCCATCCTTCCAATCCTTCGCCATCCGCGAAGGTCCTTGTCGATGACATTGTTCTGCTGCGGGCTCACCCGTAATCCCACTTACATCAAGATGGATGCCGCTGATGTGCCATTTATGCTGAAATCGAAAGCATATCGATCACATTAACATAGAATAAAGAATAAAAACTTGAGGGCTTTGGCGCATTGCAGATTTGATTTGCATAGAGCTCTAGATTGTTAAGAAATGCAAATGCCCGGTTGGAATAACTCAGCTAAATAGTTGACCCAACGATCTATTTATGTACCCCCCAAAACCCTCTGTTTTCCCCGCCACTTTGTATGACAAAATGCTGGACAAAGGATTTAATTAGTTTTTCTTTCATTTGCCATGGTAGCGATGGTGTAATTGCTTTCGAACAGATATCACGACACGCGAGAACATTTCGTGCACGAAACTCGGGCAAAAGCCAAATTGAAAATTAGAGGAAACGCTGCTGCTCCCAGGAAAAAGTGACGACAGGATACGGTTGGATGGGATGGTATGGTATGGGATGGGTATGGAAAGGGATGGTATGGTATAGTATGGGATGGTATCTGATGGGGCAAAGGGAACAGAAGCAGCAGGATCCGCGGGACGGGGATGCCTTTTCTCTAATGAAATACTTGTGTCGTGCGCCTGTCGACATTATTAACAGCTTCCGAACTTTTGAATTTACGAACGGAGCCGGGGAACCGAAACGGGCTAAAAAGGGAGCGAAAATGGATTAAAAACTGCAATCGCCAGCGCCAGACACTCAAAGAGAAAATGTGAAAAGTGTGCTAATTTCCATTGAGAGCTGCACTGGAGCAGCAGCATCACAAAGGCTGCGCTTCAAAAGTGTTTAATTCAAATTGTGCACTGCCAAAATACACAGAACTTTAAACAGTAGTACTCAAATGTAGAATAACAGTTGAATTGCACATTTTTCTTAAGTCAAGTGTCATTTAATTTCACATACCTACAATTTAGTTAGCCAAAGATGAAGAGAAGATCTAAGATTCTAAATTTACAGGTAAATATTTATATTAAATATATTATTACAAAAGGTATTTTAAATTTACAGGTATATATTTATGAATAATATATAATAATACAAGGTAAATAAATTCATTTCACTCTAAATAAAAAAACTTAAAAAATACTTTCAAATGATAAATAAAACTTAAACTTAATCAAAATATGTGCTTAATTCTAGAATGCAAGTCATGGTAAATTAAAAGTAGCTTTTAAGACCCGAAAGCGTAGACTCTGAAACCTACTTTTAAAGCAAATCTACCTACCAAACCTTTGTCAAAAAAAACCTACAATTTAATATAGCTGTTCCATCGCATTTAGACCTTACCAACATAATGTTTTTTCCTAAGTGAGTAAAGTTCTGACCATGGCCGGAAAAGTAGCTGCTGTTTGGTTGTTTCCTGTTTGGTTGAGTCAAGTGCACCAGCAGGAGTCGCAGTCAGTTTATTTATACCCACAACCAGTGGGTTCTGCCCGGGATTCGGTGGTGCAAGTGGTGCAGTTGTGCAGTTGGGTAGTGGTAGGTTTAGGATCGCATCGAATAAGTCGCTGCCTTGGCGACAGGAAGCCAATTTATGTGCTTTGTGTGCATTTTTGTTTGAGTTTGCTATATTTTTTATTGGCAGCACAATTTATTCACGAATATGGTTGCACCAGCCAAAAGCCTCACTCTATACGAGTGCGGGTGATGTTTATTGTATAAAGGATATATGGTATTGCTGGTGCTACAAAGAAGTGAATTTTTCATGTGCATTTACTCCGACTAGTTTGTTTTGAGTTTTGATATATGCAGGTCTTTAGTGGAAGCAATATCTGTTTTTTTGTACTTGGGGAAGGTCTAATTTAAGGAAATTATGAATATTTAAGTGGCTTAAAATGCAAGTTTCGATATTGTAAGCTTTGATATACTGATTACAATATAGAAGCTTTAAGTTACTTACTTGTAGTAAGAATTGTTAAGATATGTGTGATATTAAATAAACATAAATATTCGTAATTTGGTATTAGATGGAGACGAGATGAATTATCTTCCAAATCTTATAACCATTTATTTTTTTTTAAATATAGTCCTGCTTTGACTCAGTGTAGTGTAAATCAGATTTCGACAACTTTGAACCATTGAGTATCTTAACTTAAGAATGACAGAAGATCGTCTGGATTGTGAATTTTTCATCCTCCCTGTTGGGCTTATTTTCACTCCGCATATGAGCAATTTCCGATTGAGCGACAAAGGACCCTGAATCGGTTGTATAAATCGCCCATTCGCTTTAAAGGGACCCTGCTGACATTCCGATGGGAAGTACCTTTGGCATTTTCCGAAGTCAACATGCAATATTTGTCGTTTCTCGTTGGCTGGTCCTTTTTGGCATTGTTGTGTGCGAAGCTTTTAAAAGTTAATAAATCCTTTTAACTTATTCCATATTTCAATGCCGCTGCTGTGGCGGCTGTGCGCCAGCCTTTTCGCATTTTCAGTCGTTTAAATCGAGAAAAATGCCAGACAACCATGTGAGTTTTCTCTAGCGCTTGGTATCAATGGTAGTACGAATACGAATACGGATACGAATACTGGCTGAATGAAAGCAATTGTGTTTATTGAACAACATTATTCAAATGGAGATTATGAAGCTGTATTGTCAGCTCGATTTGTTCAACTCGGCGAGGAGCAAAGCATCATTCATATCAGTTTATTGTGACAAACAGGACTCATCATTAAAGTTTCTATCTATTTCAATTTCTATTTCAATCGGCTGGCCTACTATTTGTATTTAGATGGGGGGAAACTGACACTGTACATAGTGACCCATAATATATCATTGCCATTGTCAAGCCTTGTCTTCCATTTGCGACTTACATTTCTCGAATATTGCGTTATTTTTCCGTTTCAGGCCTTAAGTTTTTTTGATTTGTTGTGGCAACGAACATTTATATTCCTTCTCGTTTCGTTGTGCGGCCTTTTAACGATTCATTTTTTATAAGAGAGAAAGCGCCGACTTACAGTAAGCTCGGATTCCTTTCAGGACTGGCCCTCCCTATCGCCATGTATTTTTATTATTTATTATCCGTTTTAAATCCCAGCTAAAGATCATTATACACATCAGTGCGTCCGATTGTGAGAATCGCAGCTACTTCTGATTTTCTGATTTCTTGTTTTCGACGTTTTGCCAGCCTCCTTAGTTGGATTCGCCAGCCCCTGGAAATTCCGAAATTCCCTCCCCCCAACCCAAGCAGTTCGCAAGTTTTCACCAGAGTCCCTTGCAAAAAAAAAAGGGAAAGGGGGGAAGGACGCACAAGCGCAAAACGAGGCTGGCAAGGAAAACGATTTAACTGAAAATTGAGGTTGAACTTAATCATAAATCAATGCTAATGATGCTAAAATGCTAGAAAATTTCCTACCCATCCGGGGACGCCACTCGGAGTGGATATCATTGGCCGGGAGGTTGGAGGTTGGAGATTGCTGAGGATTTGCCGAGCTGGCATTTGCCAAGAAGCCGCCCACGTCCTCGTCCTTTGGCCACTTGGCAGATGTCTGACTGTCATTTATTACAATTGCTTTGACTTTTGTGAGTTTGTTGTCGCTGGCGTTTTTTATTATGCATCTCATTGCCGGATATCCAGAATCTCTGGGGAGTGGCCTCTCTGCCACGGAAAATGGCCCCTCTGAAAATTGTAATCAGTTTTTTGATACCACAGCCCGCATTCATTTTCGGGGATCCCAAAAAAAAATAGGGGGTTTCCAAAAGCTCAAGGACAGAGACAACTTATTTACTGAAATTGACAACCATCAATAGATAGATTGCAATGATATCTATTATTATTCTATTGTTTTGGGTATTGCATTTAACCCTGTTTTTTAAGATATACAAAAAATATTGTTTATAAAAAGAAAACCCACATTTAAATAGCCCTTTCTTCAGTGGTATTCCAAAAGCTAAAGGACAAAATGGTACTTATTAACTGAGAATAGATAGATTTGCATTGGCCGATCAATTAATATTTTATTGTTTTAGGTATTGTATTTAATCGTGTTTTTTAAGATATCAAAAGAACTTTCTTTATAAAAAGTAACCCCACATTTTTATAGCACTTCATTTTTATTAGACAATATTTTCCATAAATCTCAAGGCGATGACGGGAGTTATTGAACCCGACTTTCAAATTTACTCAACGGCTAAGAAGGATCTCCCACTCCTGTCTAGCCAATATCCGTCGGCCAATACCCGTATCCTTTTTAATATACCTTTGGCCAAACAAAGCTCAGGACTGATAGCTCGTTAAAGTGACGCCATAAAAGGAGCGCGTAATGTGACGCCCGAGAATTGCAAAATTCATGAAGGCAATGCGGAGAAGCTTCAGGTTAAGAAAGATCCCATTTCGGAATGTTGAAAAATAAGTACTCTATTATATGGTAATCTCTGCAAGTAAATATGATATGAATAAAATATGTTCAAGTAATTTGTAGAACATTTTGGCAAGAATAAGTAGTTCTAATAATTCTTTCAATTTAACAATCTCCTTGTGACATTCCTCGACATTCATTGGTTAGCTGATGTATTCATACAAAAGGGCATACTACATGCTGATATATTCAAAGCACTTTAAGTCATTTATATTTCGATAAAAGTGTTTATGCAAATCTTGTAAAACGTAATCGTAAAGCGGACGAAGAACCGCCAACGATACGAAAGCCAATGTCGAGCCTTAAAGCGCATTACGAGCGCCGCTGGCAGATCGGGAAAAGCAGGGGGAAAACGGAGGAAAAACCTGGGGAAAACCGGGGGAAAAGCGTGCGAGAGGAATGGCATCCGAGTTGTAAAAATTGAAATAAATGTATGCTGGGACCCACACCGACATATTGTATGCAAAAACGCGGCCGTGTGCGTGTGTATCTGTGGCATAAGTTATGCCTCGCTGGTGGCCAAATGGACAGGGGGTGGCGGCCACGCCCCTTCCACCTCTCATGCCCTTCTGACCTCAGGCCCGACCACAATGGAACCAGAAATTTTTGCAAATAGA